GAGTCAGAGCTCAAATAGATAAGGATGGTAGTCTTGTCTGGGCACCTGGTGGTGGGTTTCAGAGGCCAAGCAGAGTGAGAAGGGCATCTATGTGGGAGTCGGGCCTATGTAGGGTGTGGAGGGCATCCACATGGGGTGGTGCCTGATGCAGAGTGTCAGAGCCTGAGCAGAGTGAAGAAGGTGTCCACAGAAGAGGTGGTCTAACACCAGGAGTCAGAACCCAAATGATGTAAGGAGGGCATCCATGTGTTGGGAGCAGCTCAGAATGGGGAATTTAGAGTCCAAGCAGGGTAAGTAAGCAGGGCATCCACATGGGGGAAGTGTCAGTGGCAGCAATGAAAGATTGGTTACATATAGGGAGATTGACCAAATTAGTCAATATATTCAGGATAATTAGAGCCAGGTTTCTTATTGTCAATGAAGGGAGCTACAAATTATAAAAAGAGAGAAACTAAAATGAGCCCTGTGGTATTGCACTGAAACTGGAGGTTTCAATTGGGAATGTATGGTTTCCAATATCTAGATAGATACATATAGAAATAGAAATATAAATAGGTACATACAACATGCATACTCTAACTCTACACTGTGCCAGAAAGAGGTACTCAAAAAATGATGAAAAATGGTCAGAAGGACACAGACTCCAGCTTGGAGAGGCTCCTACTGACCAAATCTGGGCCAACTTAAGCATTAAAACAAATAAGGAAGAGCCAGGCATAGTGGCTAGAGCTTGTAACCCCAGCTATTCAAGAGGCTAATGCCAGAGGATCACTGGAGGCCAGGAGTTCAAGACCGGCCTGAGCAACATAGCGAGACCCCCCACCTCTAAAAAACAAATTAAAAATTAGCTGGGTATGGTGGCACATACCTGTAGTTCTCGCTACTCAGAAGGATCACTTGAGCCCAGGAGTTCAAGAATGCAGTGAGCTATTATGTGTCTCTGTACTAATTATATTACATTAAATAAAGCAAGAATTCATGAGTCCATACTGATGTAAATAAATGAATAAATTGAAAGTTTGATAAGGAATAAGATATTCAAAATGTTTCAAAAACGTTTCCACAAAATGCTTATTAATTACAAAGAGTGAAAGAGGAATTTCACAGAGGAGAAGCCTGGAAGACATCCAGTGATCAAAAAGAACATTACCTGTGAAGGGACAAATTGAAGTTATGTACCACCTGATAGGATGCAGTGAGAACACAGCGCCACTTCTGTGATGTTTCTGTCAAAGATGCAAGCCTGAATCAACTCACGGAGTCCCAAGTTGTAGGGCATTCTACAGAATAACTGGCCTGTAATCTATAAAGGGTAAAGGTTTTAAAAGTCAAAGAAAGGTTAAGGAGTTGTTCCATACTGAGGAAGACTGAAGATACACGAACTGAATGAAATCTTGATGCTAAACTGGATCCTTCTGCAACAACTGGCTAAACTTGATTGGGGGTCTGACAGTTATATGGCAGTAATGTGTCAGTGTTAATTTCCTGGTTTTGACTGTTGTATCAGGGTTATGTAGAAGAATGTCCTTGTCTATACAATAAACTTTTAGTTTGTACTAAAAGTATTCAGGAGTGATGGGTCATCAGATTGGCAGTTTATTCTCAAATGGCTTAGGAAAAAATTATTTGTATTGCATATGACTTTTAGGAAACATAATTGTTTCAAAATTTTTTAAATTATATAAAAAAATTTTTTAAAGACAGGGACTCTCTATGTTGTCTAGGCTGGAGTGCAGTGGCTTTTTATAGGTGCAGTCATAGCGTACTGCGGCCTCAAACTCAAACTCAAACTAGCTGGGTTTAGAGACAGAGTCTGCCTGAGTCTGTCTGCCAGAGTTGCCCATGCTGGACTTAAACTCATCAGCTCAAGCGATCCTCCCACCTCAGCCTCCCAAGTAGCTATTAATAGATCTATAAGCACATGCCCCTACACCTGGCTAAAAATTATATAAAAAATTATAAATGTAAGCATTAGTCAAACTTCAAATATAAATACTATTTTTAACTAACAAGGAAGTTTTAAAGTTAAAGATCTCTTCTTACCTCCTGCCCGTAATACAATTTTAAAGCATGCTGATTTACAGAAGCATTTAACTACATAGTTTGAAATTTAGATTGACCCCACTTATGTCCCTTAGGATTGGAGGAGTGAGTGAAGATTTTAACATGCTTGCTTCATTAGTGTTTTAAAATTTGTCTTCAAATTCAAGTGATCCAAATTATTTCTCTTAATTTTATGATCTCTATAAATGGACTACTGGATTATCAGAAATCTAAGGTTGCAATAATAATAAACTTTTATAGTTTACAAAGCAATTCTACAACCAGTATCTCATTTGATCCTAAAAGTCATATTCATTCATTGAACAAAGATAAAAAAATCATTATCTTTCCTAGTATCTGGAAATAGGCATTATGATAATTCTTTCCTCGTGGAGATTGAGGGAGACACTGGCTGATCACTCTGAAGTATGGGAGCCAGGATTCTAGCCCAAAATGTGACTGGAGTCTGGACTTAAATCTGCTGTATCAAACTAAGAGTCCTAACCTGCTCGTGACTATGTGATCCCTCAGGACCTGTTTCTTCAGCAGCAAAATGAAAGTGTTGTACTCTGTAATATTCACGCTGTGTTCCAGCTTCAAAATGCTAAAATTCATCCTGTTGTTAATAGAAACAACAAAAAACATCCAGGCACAGAGGCTAACACCTGTAATCCCAGCACTTTGGAAGGCTGAGGTGGGAGGATCACTTCAGGCCAGGAGTTTAAGACCAACCTGGGGCTGGGCTTGGTGGCTTACGCCTGTAATCCTAGCACTCTGGGAGGCCGAGGCGGGTGGATCGCTCAAGGTTAGGAGTTCGAGACCAGCCTGAGCAAGAGTGAGACCCCCGTCTCTACTAAAAATAGAAAGAAATTATCTGGACAACTAAAAAAATATATATAGAAAAAATTAGCCAGGCATGGTGGTGCATGCCTCTAGTCCAGCTACTTGGGAGGCTGAAGCAGTAGGATTGCTTGAGCCCAGGAGTTTGAGGTTGCTGTGAGCTAGGCCGAAGCCACGGCACTCTAGCCTGGGCAACAGAGTGAGACTTTGTCTCAAAAAAAAAAAAAAATAAGACCAACCTGGCCAACATAACAAGACCCCATCTCTACCAAACATAAAAAAAATTAGCTGGGTGTGGTGGGACATGTTCCAGCTACTCAGGAGGCTGAGGCAGGTGGATTGCTTTAGCCCAGGAGTTCTAGGCTCCGGTGAACTATGATCACACCACTGCACTGCAGCTTGGGCAACAGAGTGAGACCTTGTGTCTAGGGGGTAAAAAAAAAGTAAAGTAACTGAGAGTAACCTTAATTAGAAAAGTATATAATTTCTATGGGAAAAAAATTTTTAACTGCAAAGCTTTCCTGAAATATTTTTAATGACTTGAATATACAGACTTGCATATGGATTAATTTTCCCATTCTTCTTTTTCATGTTCAATTTGAGGTCTGTTAATAAATAGAATTCAAGTGTGATGCTTTAGAGTATGTGAAAAGTTTATTCATGGAGGCTTAGTCATTAACAAATCTACAGCCTATCACCTGAGATATTTTTTTTTTTCTTTTGCTCGTGGTCGTTCCAAGGAATCCTTTGTCCTTTTTAATGAGGCAGATGGGTTTGGAAGAGACTTTTCCTTATTAAATGAAGGGATCCCTGCTGCTTTCTATAGCTTGAGGCAGTCTTATGGGAAACTGGCATTTACATGTTTTTCTTTGGGGGTGTGGCTGCATTATTGTTACTATAAAGTTATGCTTGATTGGTCTGAATTATGCATCATTAGGAGTGGTTTTTTTTTTTTTTTTTTTTTGAGACAGAGTCTCACTGTGTTGCCTGGGCTAGAGTGCCGTGGCGTCAGCCTAGCTCACAGCAACCTCAGACTCCTGGGCTCAAGTGATCCTCCTGCCTCAGCCTCCCGAGTAGCTGGGACTACAGGCATGTGCCACCATGCCCGGCTAATTTTTCTATATAGTTTTTAGTTGTCCGATTAATTTCTTTCTATTTTTAGTAGAGACGGGGTCTCGCTCTTGCTCAGGCTGGTCTCCAACTCCTGAGCTCAAACAATCCGCCCGCCTCGGCCTCCCAGAGTGCTAGGATTATAGGCGTGAGCCACCGTGCCCGGCCAGGAGTGATATTTTTGTCTTGAAAGCTCTATATAACAGCTCAGCTCATGAGCTCTTTTCAAAAGAAAGGAAACTTATAAAGGGGAAAGAAAGACCATCACAGTGAATGTTTAGACAGTGAGACTGATTGTTTTCAAACAAATCTAATTCATTATATGCCTGGTAATGAAGACATCTTAATAATGGCAAAAGCGGCCCTATTATCTGTCTGCTTCTATTAACCAATTTATTTTGTTTAGATCAGTGGGCAGGACACCATCTGTTACTAGAAATTTTCTTTTCATCTAGCCTGCCCCTATTAAGAGTCTTCAGTTAAGTAACGTCTGCTGCCCTCTTGTTTAATTTCCATAATAACTCATTTCAGGGATATGGAGAGAAAAAGGCAGCTAGGAGGATATTGTAAGTTGCATCATGCCCTCAGAGGATTTAATTTGGTCATCACCTTAGCAAGAAAAATTAGTGGGGAGAATTTATTAAATATGTGTGTTGGAGAAAAGGGCTGAAGAAACGGGAAAGTGGAGGGGGACAGAACTGATGGTGGATGAGGTAGCTTTAAGGAAATTGTTTGGTAAGATTGTAAAAATATTTTTTTTCTGATAGCTTTTTGGTGACTTTTTGTTTCCCCAAGACACCTTTTTCTAAGGCATATTTCAATTATTTAGATACAGGTAGTGGTAAGAGTCTTGTTCCATAATAACCTACTTTCAGGACCTTACGTATATCTTATGTACATATTGGTATATATATGTTTATTTGTTTAAGTAAAGCACAATGAATATATAAATGTTATTACTGTAAATGATGACACTAAAATAATTTTTTATTTTTATTCTACCAAAGGTCCATGACTCCAGCTCAGGCTGACTTGGAATTTCTTGAGAATGCCAAAAAGTTATCTATGTATGGAGTTGATCTTCATAAAGCAAAGGTAATGATAAATTTGGCCTTTATTAATATGCATGTATATGTATTATATGACACAGGCTTGTTATGCATGTATCACATCTGTGTTATATAAGACTTCTTACCAACATCCAGGATATTTTAAAATATTCAAATCATTCTGGGGTATAAATATCCAAAATCAATCTAGGATATTTTGAAACATTCAGAAAAGATAGTTCTTATTAAAATATTAAGTGAATCAATCAAATGTATCAATTGAATTGCTCCTTAGCAATTCCACCATCAGAATAAAGTTTCATATCCAAGCCACTATAAAGATCAAAAGACATAGCACCTAGAGAAAAAGAAATTGTATTTTCCTAAAATGCAGTTACATTTGAAAATATAGAGTGGCAGCAAGGCCTGTCTCACAGCCAATGTCACCTACATCAGAATCACCAAGGGTGTTTATTAAATATGCAGATCCCTGAGCTCCTCTCAAATTTACAGAATTACTTTGGAGGAGAGGCTCTAGAATCTCCAGATTTAATGAGCATCCCAAATGATTTTAATTCATGCTTAAAACTAAGAACCCTTGGCCTAGCTAGGGTAGTGGTTCTCAAATTGTGATCTCTGAACCAGCAGAATTTAGCATCACCTAGGAACTTGTTAGAAACACATTTCAGGCCCCATCCTAGACTTATTGAATCAGAAGCTCTGGGAGTGGAGCCCAGAAATCCAGTTTAACAAGCTCTCCAGGTGTTTCTAATTCCTGCTGTAGGGCATTCAAGAACCACTGGGTTAGGGCATTGGAAACTTGGGCGTTCAACCTAACAGAATGAATACTAAGGCAAATGTCTTGGCTTCTCATCTTCAGCTACTAAAATAGCTGGGGAGGTTGAGGAGGTTGTGAGTGAAAGGGCTCAAGGGGATGATCTGAGGTTCATTCAGAAGAACCTAACTAGGATGCACGATGAGGAGACTCAAAACCATTTCCAATGAGAAGCAATCAAAGGAATAGGAGTATTTAACCCACAAAAGAGAAAGTTTGGGGAAGATATAATATCTGTCTTCATGTGTTTAAAGGAGTGATGAGTGAAGTAGAGATTTTACTATGACTCCAAGATACAAACCTAGAGATAGTAAAATGGAAGGTATAGGCAAATATACTGTTCATGTCAATTTGACAAATTATTTGACAGAACTATTCAAAGATGGAATGGTCTACCTCAGTACGTAGTAAGCTCTCCATTGTTGGAGGTATTCTAGAATAGGCAGAGAATCACTTTATAGGAATTTAGAAAAGGACATTTAAGCATCTGGTATGTGATTGGACTAAAGTGACCTTTCAGGGTTCTCCCAACCTGAATATCTGATAGTCTCTTCCTTATTTCAGTTCTATTAATTCTAATAAAATTCTATTGCATGTTAGTGGTTTTTCTTAAGAGGTTGCTCTGGATTGTTTTGGGCTGGGTACTCTAACTTCTATAAATCTCTGAAGTAGAGGGTAAGAAGATTAGTACATGAGATTAGATATATTTCTAGAACTGAAATTGTTATGTTTTGCTTCTCAATTTTTACTGTAGGCTGGTGTCAATTCAGGAATGGATAAAGGAATCAAAAGCATGTTCTTTTCCCAAATGTTGTAAAGCAAATTGTTTCTCCAAAGCATGTCATTTACAGAGAGATAGTTATACCCACAGGCTTTAAAAATTTAAGAGGGCATCTTCTGGGAAATTCTCAGTTACATAGTCACTGAATTGGAACTGTATATAATTTCTGCTTCTCTGTTACACTTGTATGTAACACACGTAGACAGTAATACATTTCTATATACTCATTTTGGGAAAAAGAATAGTCAAGAAGCACTTAACTCTGGGTTTTGATTACTTAGCTAAACAAATAGTCATTTAGAGAGATTAACTTAGGTGAAATTTATTTTCCTTGTGTTACAGATATAGATGATTAATACGTATTTAATTAAATTTTTTTAATAAAGAAGCATGTTAATATGACTTCACTTTGCCTTAATGTTCCTTCTTGGCTTAGGGATCATCTTTTTAATTTAATATACATACTTAACATCAATTATTATAAGAACCTGTAATTCCCTTATGCCGAGTTTATACAGAAACAGAGTCAACTCCTATACTTAACGTGATTTCTGGAGAGATTACCATTTTATCATTAAAAAACAAGAATTATAATTGTATGTGTATATTTGGTAATGTACATAGCCCTAAACCCTGGCCTTCAGGAAGTCATGACTGCTGATTTAAACATAAAGGTCATATGGATTATGATTGTTAGGCTAAGCTTTATTTTTCATTGTATGCTTTGTAAATGTTTTTGGTTGTTGATATCTTCATATTATCTCATAATAGTCAACAGTGCGTTGAGCACTTTGCTCAAGACTGACATACTAACACTTTTCTTTTTCAGGACTTAGAGGGAGTGGATATCATCCTAGGTGTCTGCTCTAGTGGCCTTCTGGTTTACAAAGATAAGCTGAGAATTAACCGTTTTCCTTGGCCGAAAGTGCTGAAGATTTCTTACAAACGTAGCAGCTTTTTCATCAAGATTCGGCCTGGAGAGGTACAGAATTCATGTTTTTTTTCCTCCCAAACCAGACACAAACCGTGTGTAAAACACCTCTTCATTCCTGTTTTCCCTGTTATGTCATCTAAGAGGTTTCTCTGTAGCTACCTATTCAGGGGCTAATGATTCTGTTTTCTGAATTGATATTTCTTCTCTTCCTTACTACTGGTCTTCTGAACATTTCTCTTCCTGTTAGTAAACATACCATAGCCAAAAGTGAAACTTGGATTGATAAACTTGTTTCTTGTTTACTCCAGACAAAAGGTTGTTGAACAAATATTTTTTAATTGAGCAGCATTAGATTTTAAAATTATTTTGTTGGGCTAAATTACTCATATTTTACACCACCAACTCATATAATTAAAATTTATTTGTGTGCATACCTGTAGTGGTTATAGAGGATGTCGATTTCTCTAGGGTCAAGTTCCATATTTTTAATAGAGTTGGATGTTCAACTTTGTGCCAGTTAACTCAGTTAGTTGGTGGTCAAGTTTTAGGATATACTAATGCCAGCCAAATTTAATTTTTATACTGAAGAGGCATTGTGGTACAGCAGAAAATTAAATAGGAATTAAATAAAAAAAAAAAAAGTTTTGGTTCCTTCACTGCCACTTTCTAAGCAAAAGACCCTAGAAAAATCTAAGGCTCAGCTTCCTTATCATTCAAGCATGATAATACCTTCTCTGTCACAGTTATTTGAAGATCAAATGAGATGTCAACTATAAAAGCTCTAAATAAGAAAGGACCATTCTGACATAAGGTGGCTTTTTGTGTGTGTATATATCACCATCTACTGGTGAAAAATGGCTCATTATTTGAGCCTGGAAATTCCAGATGTGCAGCCTTGAAAATCTTGGATAGGGATTATCATTGAAGCACTTATTTTGTACTGTAATTATTTACCTGTGCCTAGCACAGAGCAATCAATGTCTTCCCTCAAAGTTTCAAATCCAAGAGTTAATCATCAACAAATATTTATTGAGAGCTTTCCTTGTGCTAGACACTACTCTAGGGGCTAGAGATGTAACAGTGAATAAGAATTCTATCCCTGAACAATCTTACATTTTAATGTGGGAAGGCAGTTAAAAATATATATACACATACACAAATAGTAATAAATATGATAATGAGAAGTCCTTAGCTTTTATGGATGTGAGCTATATAACGTATACTAAATTTTTTTTTTTTTTTTTTTTTTTGAGATAGAGTCTCACTCTCTTGCCCGGGCTAGAGTGCCGTGGCGTCAGCCCAGCTCACAGCAACCTCAAACTCCTGAGTAGCTGAGACTACAGGTTCTTGTAGTTGTTTGGCCAATTTCTTTCTATTTTTAGTAGAGATGGGGTCTCGCTCTTGCTCAGGTTGGTCTCGAACTCCTGAGCTCAAACGATCCACCTGCCTCGGCCTCCCAGAGTGCTAGGATTACAGGCGTGAGCCACTGCACCCGGCTACGTATACTAAAAATGTAGAATTCTTATTTAAGAAAGCAGCCAGGAACAACAGTAGGATTTTGAGAAGTGGAATATTATGACTATGGTAGATGATTTAGAAGTAGCATGGTATAGTGGAGAGGGTGAAATTTTGCTTTTGCCATTTCATAGCTGTGAGACTGAACAAATAACTTTTCTAACCTCAGTTTCTTCATGTGTAAAAATACAGAGGATACTATCTAATCGTAGTGTTACTGGCAGTAATAGGCACTCGAAATAAATGTCAGTTTCCTTTCCACCTTATAAAATATGTTTGAAGTCGAAACAAAGAGGCAAGAGACCAACAGGACAGTGTTCTAGTAGCCTTGGCAGGATATGGTTTGCTTAAGTCAAAGAGGTATGTAGATAAATTAATGATCAATTAAAGGAAAAAGAGAAAACATGTAATAAATCAAGAATCTGGGGAATAAATTCAAGAGATCTATTGTATACCATGGTAACTATAGTTAGTAACAATGTATAGTATTCTAGAAATTGCTAAAAGACTAGATTTTAAGTGTTCTCACCACAATTAAATGATAAGTGTGTGAGGTAATGCATGCCAATTTCGCTTGATTTAGCCATTGCACAATGTATACATATTTCACAGCAACATGTTGTAGATGATAAATATATATAATTTTTATTTTTCAATTTAAAAAGTTAATTTTTAAAAATCTGGTTTGATCCAAAATCTTTAGCTCCTATTACCAATTGCTATTGCATAATAATGTTGATTGGTTGGGGAAATCATGGATATCCATTCCCTGATCATTGAGTAGACTGTATTCCAAATACAGATAGTGGTTAAGGAAAAGCAGTGTCTGGACAATCAAAAGGTAACTTAATTATGTCACAGAAAAATATATTCTGTGTGTGCATGTGTGTTTTATGAATAAAAATAAGATGCTTAAATAATACGAGATGCATTCCCTGGCTTCCTTGCTTTGGAAAAAGCTACCTTCAGTGAGTGAATTTCTTTTGGTAAGTAGTAAAAAATTTCAAATGATATTTTATATCCTTAAATTATAACAATGGCCTTGTATTTCTCTGGTACTGTATCACTATAGTAAGATAATACTTCATGTTTACATTTCTTGTGTTTGTATAGCAAGAACAGTATGAAAGTACCATTGGATTCAAACTTCCCAGTTACCGAGCAGCTAAGAAATTATGGAAAGTCTGTGTAGAACATCACACATTTTTCAGGTTTGTTCTCACTTAAGTATTTTTCAAGGATAAATTATTTATGCATGTTTCTATTTTTAGCCTGCTATTGAAATTCTCTTCTTTGTATGACTGGCACTCTTTTATTTAGCTCAGGTGAGATCATCTTAAACAAGACAAAATGAATTCAGTTCTCCCTCTTTGGGTTGAAAAGTATGCTTCAACATTTCCAAAGCACCTTTCTGTGTATGGTAGAAGGAGAAGTAAGGAATAGGAAACTGTATTTACCAGGGGCTCTGTGATTGCCCTAACCGTAGCTAAAAATCAGTCCTATTAAGGGGAGCTACCCTCACTTATGTCCACATGGAATTTCTCTAAGCAGTGCTTAACTACTTTCTGTTGAGCTTTTATTCTATAATTTTAAAGATGTGAAGCTGATTATTATCTTGGTTCTATCAACTCCAAAAAGGGAGCACACAGAATTATCTTTGAAGCCCAATTGTACCAGATAGTCAGAAAAGATAAGAAAGTAGCATTTCCTCTACCTCAAGAGACCATGTTATTAACCCCTTGAATTCATTTACCAAGCATTTTTTTTCCTTTTGAGACAGGGTCTCACTCTGTTGCCTAGGGTAGAGTGCAGTGGCATCAGATAGCTCACTGCAATCTAAAAAATGTGGGCTCAAGTGATCCTCCTGTCTCAGCCTCCCAAGTAGCTGGAACGACTGGCGTGTGCTACCACACCCGCTATTGATACTTTTTCTTGGCCAGGCGCGGTGGCTCATGCCTGTAATCCTAGCAGTCTGGAAGGCCGAGGCGGGAGGATTGCTTGAGCTTAGGAGTTCGAGACCAGCCTGAGCAAGAGTGAGACCTCGTCTCTACTATAAATAGAAAGAAATTAGCCAAACAACTAAAAATAGAAAAAATTAGCTGGGCACGGTGGCACGTGCCTGTAGTCCCAGCTACCCCGGGAGGCTGAGGCAGGAGGATCACTTGAGCCCAGGAGTTTGGGTTGCTTTGAGCTAGGCTGATGCCACAGCACTCTAGCCCAGGTAAGAGAGTGAGACTCTACCTCAAAAAAATAAATAAATAATTTTTCTATTTTTTGTAGAGATAGGGTCTCAATATGTTGCTCAGGCTGGTCCTGAACTCCTAACCTCAAGTGATCTTCCTGCCTTGACCTCCCAAAGTGCTAGGATTACACACGTGAGCCACTGCACCTGGCCTACCAAGCATTTTCTGTGTGCTTACCCTTCATGTAGGCACTGTGCTAGGCCTTGGGAATACCACAAGATAGTTCTCAGTCTCTGTCCTGATGGAACATATGATCAGCAGAGAAGACAGATCTTAGACAAGTAATTACTTGTATTGAAAAGAGAGCCAGCTATTTATTGTCAGTATTGTCAGTTTGCCTTTTTAAGAAAATTTCTTTGCTTTGTTTTTGTTGTTGTTTTATTTTGTTTTGTTTTTAAGAGATAGGGTCTTGCTTGGTCTGGAAATCATCACAAAAGAAAATTTTTTTTAAATCTGGAAATCATCACAAAAGAAAATTTCTTTATTCTGGAAAATTTCATACATAGCAACAATATAATGAACTCCACTTGCACCTGTCACTCAGCTTCAATAATTACCACCCCAAGGCCAAACTCCTTTTATCTATATCCTCACCTACCCCTTCCCCTACTTGCCAGATTTTTTTGAAGCAAATCCTAGGCCTTATGTCATTTCATTCATAAATAAACTTGATTCTTTATAAATAGCTCTCGACAGAGAAAGAGATAACTCTGATACGTTTTCCTTGTATTTGTGTTTTCATATCATACTCAGCACTATAGCACAGTGGACAGGAAGAAAAGTCAAGGAAAATCATATTTCAGTTCTAATTTCAAAATAAAACATGAGGGTACACTTTACCCCCAATTAGAGAATCTTGATTATTGGCATTAACACATTTCTTTATGCTTTCATCATCCTCTTCTTTAAAATCAAACCAAGAAAATAGAGTTTTTTAAAAAGGCAAAGAATGAAAAAATGATTTTGAATTTTTAATATCTATGGTATAGGTTTCAGCTGCAGCCATTGTATTTATTTGTAGGATAGCATATTTAAATACATTACATCAAAATAAGATGATACATTAATACTAAAATGTAATGTGTTATTGCATAAGAGAAACTATATGTTTGCTGAATTAAAATTAACTATCTCAAAGGGAAAAAATACTCCCTTTTTGGTAGTATTTGATATAGCAATTTATGTATTTATTCAACAAACATTTATTGGTACCAAATTCATGCCAGGCACTATGCCAGAAGCAAAAACACAAAGATGAATAAGTCATGGTCTTTATTCTTTACCTTTAGAAAATTCATAGTCTCATAGAGGAGACCAACACATAAATAGTTTGTTTCAATTCAATGTAGTAAATGCCATGACAAAAGAGTACATAGGGTACCGCATAGAAAAAAGATGAGATTCCTAACTGAGTTGAAAATATACCAAGTAACCAAATAGGTTACCAGGTATTAATTGAGTTTTGAGTGCATTTGACAAAACTGTCAGTTTAGTAGAGGGGAAAAAGAGCTCTGGGCTTGGACTTTATTAGTGCCCAGTCTCTCAACAGCTGTGGGACCTTAAGCAATTAACTTTTTTTGAGGTTCAGTTTTCCTGTATCTATAAAATTATGAAAACATTACAAAGATATAGTGAAAATACTGTAGTGCTATAAAAGCATTTTGAAAACTGTAAGGCCCTATTTATAGAGATATAAGATGATATTATTAATATAGGTCCCAACTACATTATACTGGTTGCTTTGAGAAATGACATAGAACTAAAATAATGATTGCTTCATTGGAAACTTCTTAGTAACTATAAGGAAACCATAGGAATTGTGAAACATTTTTTATTGTTGATTTTGTCTTTACTCTTATAGTCTCAGAATAATGAGATAATATATGTAATATATGATTATTATGATTTTTTTCCCCAGACTGACATCTACAGACACCATTCCCAAAAGCAAATTTCTTGCACTGGGATCCAAATTTCGATACAGTGGCCGGACCCAAGCTCAGACTAGACAAGCTAGTGCTCTCATTGACAGGCCTGCCCCACACTTTGAGCGTACAGCAAGCAAACGGGCATCTCGGAGCCTTGATGGAGGTTCGTACTGAATATTAATGATTTTTTGTCATCATAATTCACTGGGGAAGATAAAGGAAGTACAGTTATCTATAAGAAAACCAAATTAAAGAATACCAGTGGTACAATAAAAGAAATCTTACTAATTTTCTAATTTAGTAGAATCATCTTAAGAAAAGGAGAATAGAGATTCAGAAAGAGTAATGACTAGATCAGGGTTCCACTGCTAGGTAATGGTGGATCAAACATGCTAGAATTAGAATTATAAATCTAAGTCTATCAGAATCTCTACCACAGAGTGAAAATCTAATGTAGTATGCAGCATTTTTAAGTAGTTATTTTTCTAGTAGGAAAGAGGAAAAGGGTCTGTCTCACTACAACACTCATTTAAAAAGAAGTTTAGATCAGTTGTCATGTGGCAATTATATTATTATTATTATTGTTATTATTTTTTAAAGACAGGGTCTTGCTCTGTCGTCCAGGCTAGAGTGCAGTGACGGCATCATAGGTCACTGTAATCTCGAACTCCTGGGCTCAAGAGATCCTCTGCCTCAGCCTCTCGTGGGAATACACGCATGCTCCACCATGCCCGGCTACACATGGCAATTATAGATAGAAAAATCAGTCCCATTATTGGAGTCTCCAAATATTGTTTAAATAAAATAGGGAGGAAATAAACAAATTTCATGATTGTATATACTGACAGAAGATCTATCTAATTTTTGTGACTGGTTCTTCAGTTCTAAATTTAGTTTTAAGCATTTGAGACCATTACTACTGAAATGAAATCATAACCAACATTTCAGTTCATTATGCCACTAAAAAAAAAGGTGGCTATTAAATAAGAATTCAGAAGGCAGCAACCAAAATAGGATATTACTGATTATATTTATTAAGCACTTAGCACTGCACAACCCTATGTTATCAATTGTAAAAGCAATGTACATGTTATTATATGTATGTGTAGGATAAAGGTTTGGAGGATATTATAATACTCATCATAGTGGAAGAAACAGGGCATTATGGGAGCATATGTTAGCAACACCTAACATAGTTTAGAGGAATCAGAAATGGGTCAGCTAGGGAAGAGATCACCCAAGCAGTAGGCCTTTTGTGCTTCTATATTGTGAGTCATGCTTCTTTTTTTGGTGTTTTTCTCCTCCAGAGTTTGAAGTTTTGAAGGGGCTGTTTAATAGTAACAGTACAAGACACATTGAATGCTTTGTTTTATTTAATCTTTATGAAAACATTATGAATTAGGCTCAGGGATTAAATAACTTTTCTTAAGATATGACAGCTGGTAAATGGAAATACAAGGATTGGAATTCAGGTTGGTTTAACTCCAAAACCTATATTCTTTTGGATACTTATTCATTACTTTGTTCAATAATTTATTTTATACTTCCTATAGGCCAGGTGTTGTTGTGGTCACTGGAGGTACAGCAGTGAATACACAAACATGGTCTCTGCCTTCATGGAGAGCTTATATTCTATAGGTTGAAACAGAAAAGAATAAAACAACATAATTTTAGATAGCGATGAGTACTGTGAAGAAAATAAAACAGGGTAATGGGATATAGAGTGTCTGAGGACAGGGGAGATTAAGGAGCTATTTCAGATTGGGTGATCCAATCTAAATTTAGAAGGTTCTTCTGAGGAGCTTCATTTGAACTGAAATATGAATTATGAGAAGGAACCAGCCATCCCAAAATCTGGGGGAGGAGCATTCCAGAAGAAGAAGTAGCAAGTACAAAGTCCTGAAGGTAGGAATGAGCTTGCCATCTGTCTAGATCAGTGCTGTCCCAAAGAACTTTCTATGCTGATGGAAATCTTTCATTTTGGATAAGTTAAGTTTGAGGTATGGTCACTCAATCTTAAGTCTTCGCTGTAATCATATAACAGCATCAGGCATCTCCCTCCTTGTCAAGTAAATCACCCTACCTCTAGTTTACCTTAGGTGTGGGGAACTATTTTTTTAATCTCCATTTAAAAACTGAGGTTGGAAAGCTTAAACGACTTGTTCAACATCTCACAGGTTGTAAGTTGCAAAGCTAGGACAAAAATCCAGGTCTATCTGACACCATATCCCATGGCTTTTCCCACTAAATGAAATTTCATAGTTATATATTAAATAGATACTATATCTGATGTCTTGTTTCTTTCTGATAGCAAAAATAACTGAAGACTCAACACCTATGAAAAGAAAGAAAAAAATAATCAAAGATTCAAGTGTTAATGAGCTTTGGTGCCTTGAACAAGTTGGATAGCTTTACTTATAGAAATCACATCTTGACTGTCTCTATTTTTTTTAGCTATAGAAACCTCACAATTCAATTCAAGACTTTAAAAAATCTTGATGTCTCTGTTTATTGACTAATACTGACCAGTTATTATTAAGTTATATACTATGTTCCTATGGGGAAAAAATCTCCAAAAACTTCAAGATGATATAGTAATGCTTGAGATTTCCAAAACAAAGCATGTAAGATGATTCTAAAGGAAGACAGTTATAGCTTTGATGGCTTTACCATTAGTATCAAAGAGTTTTGGGACTTGGAAGAAAATTTTTTAAATTGTTTATTCTGGCTACCTAATTTTATAGTGGAGCCTGAAGCCTAGAAAAGTAATTTGTCGAAGTTAACATTGTTAGTACAACTTTAGGACAGAATCCATATTTTTTGGTGCCCAGATCAATTCTTTTTTTGGTTGATATATTCCATGGTGACTCTTTCCTATCTTTACATTTTGAGAATTGTTTTAAGATACATGATCTTAACTGGTCCTAGTAATTAATTATCGCAGTACTTGTTACATTGTAAGTATTTAAAAATTAAATATTGAAAATAAGATGATTGTTTTTCCTACTTAGTTGAATGTGAACAGACTTTTATGTCCCAGACTTTCTATGTGATATTTTAAATGTATTAGAAGTTTCTAAAATACAGAAAAGAAAAAAAAAAAGTTCCTAATGCAACTGTTGTCCCTCTCTTTAACTTCCTCTACTTGGGAGAAAAGTACATTAAAATTTTTTTTTCAGATCTTCACTCAAATCCTGATGACTAATGAAGTTGAGTATCTTTTCATGGTTTATAGGCCATGTGCATATCAGTATATCATTGTTTCTGAAGTGCCTGTTTAAATCATTTGCTCATATTTCTATTGGGTTATCTTATTAATTTGTTGTTTTTTATATATTCTGGATGTGCATCTTTTGTCAGCTGTACATACAGCAAATATATTCTGACACTATGTGGCTTGCTTTTTCATTCTCTTAATAGATGTCTTTTAACAACCAGAAGTTCTAACTTTTAACGTAGTCTAATTTATCAATTTTTTTGCTTATCATGAGGAATTTTGGGGTCCTGTTTAAGAAATCTTTGCCTGCTCATGGTCGTGAAGATATTCTCCAATGTTTTTTTCTTATTGTTTGTCTTTTGTGTGTAGAACAACAATACACCTGGAATTTATTCCTATGTGAAATAGAGGTCAAAGTTATTAATAATTTGTTTTTCATGTGTATATTCAGTCAACTCAGCATCTAAATTGAAAATATCATTCTTTCTCCACTGCATTCCGCTGTCACCTTTGTTATAAATCAAGTGGCCATAAATTTGGGAGTTTATTTCTGGTCTCTCTAGTCTGTTTTATTGATCTTTTTGTCTATCCTTTTGCCAATACTATACTATCTTAATTATTCTAGCTTTATAATAAGTCTTTATCTGATATTATAAGTTGTCCAACTATATTTGTTAAGATTATCTTGGGAGTTCTTAGCTCTTGGCTTTTTTTTTTATATATTTTAGAATCAGATTTTCAATTTTCACTAAAAAAGTCTTAGTAGTTTCATTGGGATTGAGTTGACTATATAGATCAGTTTGGAAAGAGTTGATGTTATTATAATATTGAGTCTTCTGATCCACAAACATGCTATATCCCTCCTTTTATTTGGATCTTCTTTACTTTCTATCAATGATGTTTTATGATTTTTGGTGTAGAAAACTTGTGTATCTTTCATTAGATTTATTCTTAGGTATTTGATGTCTTTTGCTATTTTAAGTGGTATCTTTTAAATTTTTAATTTTTTGTTTTGATACATAGAAATACAATTGATTTTTCTAGTGTGACCTTGTGTTCAATGATCTTTCAAAAAATCCTTTATTAATGTTAATGGTTCATCTGTGGATTGTTTTGGGTATACAATACTTTGTACCTAACATCAGCTGAAAATAATGATAGTTGTATTTCTTCCCTCCCAACTCATACTTTTAATTAATTGCTTTGTTGCTGGCTAGAACATCCAATGTAATGCTGAATAAAAGTGTTAATAATAAGGATACTTAATAATTAAGTATCCTTAATAATTAAGTGTTAATAATTAAGTATCACTCCCAGTCTCAGGGAGAAAGCTTCAATATTTCATCTTGTAAGTATGATGTTTACTCTAGGTTTTGTGTGGCTACCCTTTATAAGATAAGGAAGTTTACTTTTATTCCTGGTATCTAAGAGTTTTTATTATGAATTAGCGTTGACTTTTATCAAATGCTTTTTACTTCATCAATTGGTATAATAATATAATTTTCTCCTTTTTATGTAATGTGGTGGATTACTTTGATTTGACTTTGAATTTTTAAACCAACATAGAATTTTTGGAGTAAACTCAATTTCATCATAATATACTTTTCTTCTTACATCATTTTAGGATTTTTGCAACTATTTTCATAAGAGAGATGGGCCTATAATTTTCCTTTTCTGTGCTGCTGTAGTCAGGTTTTAGTATCAAGTTTATGCTAACCTCATAAAGGAAGTTGAGAAGAATTCCTTTTTCTGTTCTCTGGCAGAGTTTGTGTAAGATTGCTGTTATTTCTTCCTTAATGTTTGGAAGCATTCACCAGTGAAGCCATCTGATCCTAGGAATCTTTTTGTGGGAGGGTTCTTTACTTATGGATTCAATGTCTTTATTAGGAAAGGGACTATAAAGATTTTCTAGTTCTTGTTTCAGTTTTGGTAAGTTGTTTTTTTCT